AATTCAATACTTTCATAATAACCACAAATTACCAAATATAAATAAAATCAAATAGTCACATTATTTTTATTTTGTCCCCCAGCATTATCACAAGTAATTTTTAAATGCTTTTCACCTTTATTCAATTTCTTAATTCCATCAAAGATCATACTAAGTGTGCCATTAGGATCTGCAACAGTTGTATCGCCTTGACATCTTATTATTTAATGTTAATATCAATGTTGATTACACAAAAAGCAAAAACGATATCAATCATTTATCATAAAAATACAAGTTCTGCTTCACCAGTTTGATTTTGCAATAATATTTATACAAAATAAAAGACAAATGTATTAACAACATTTATAAAAAAAAACAATAAAAAAAAAAAATACAACGCAACAAAAAAAGTGTACCACTCACTACCAATAAACAACATGTCTCCTTCAGAACAAGCCATGTCAAACAACAACATTCACACTTTCTTGTCTTTCCAAAAATAAAATAAAATAAAATAAAATAAAATAAAAATTCAATTGTGTCAACAACAATAGGGGCCTTGTACACCATACAACGTGTGTAATTAAATTAGTATGTGTAATGCATGTTGATCAAATAACAATCTCTTTTTCCTTTAATCAACGAGTATAATCGGCTTGGAGGTCATCAAAGGAAAATAAAAATGTCTTTAATCACCAAAAACAAAAAACAAAAGAGAAAAGGCGGAAAAGAGCTGGTAGAAAAAAGCAAGTGCTATTTTTTAAAAGAATGGTGGTGATTATCATCACCACTCGTCACTCTAGTTAAAAAGAATGATAGTACTTCAAAGTCTATAACACCAACAGAAAAAGAGAGTCTAGCTAAGATTTCAAAATATTTACACCAAAACTGATTTATGGTTTTTCTTGTAGGAAAGAAAAATCACCTTTTTCATCTGAAAAAGTCCTTAGAAAAAGAAAATCAGTATGTTATACTGAAAGTTCAGTAGAAGAGACCTCATCTGATTCAGACTATATAGAGAAATCTAGGAAAGTAATTGAAAAATTTTTTTATTGTTTTGCATAATCATAAATATTCTGATTTTAATACTATTTTTGAAATCTAAAGATCAAAGCAATTATGTGACATGTCATGTCATCTAGAAATTTTAGAGGATGAAAACACACCTAGGGTTTGTATTCATGAATACTGTTAGGGGGCCACACATGGTCACACACTATTAAAATCAAGCATTTTTAAGGGATTTTTTGCTGTTTTAATAGTGTGTAACCCCCATAACGGTATTCATGGTATTCATGAATACAAACCCTAAACACACCAAGTCCGGTTCAACAAACCATGACATCATCAAATTCCTCAGAAGATACTATATATATTGTGTGAAACTACTCAAAGTACATCCTGACAATACCTGACATCATTAGATGCCTCACAAAATATCACTACTTCATGTGAAGATACACCATGTCCAGTTATTCAATTGACTTGAGAAACTTTAATTATCACACCAAACAAACCAATCATAACAAAAATGATGTTTGATACATATTCTCCATCAGTGTAAAAAATTGGAGGGGCGGAAGGGGCGGGAGCTAACCAAATTTGGTAATTATCAGCATATTTTTGCAAATAATTACCAAATTTGGTTAGCTCCCGCCCCTTCCGCCCCTCCAATTTTTTACACTGTTCTCCATACCTTATTTGCGCATTCAATTCAACAATAAATTATGTTAAGGAAACTGTTGAGGAGAGAACCTATATAGAAATAAAAAAGTTGTTACAAATGAAGGATCAATTGATTTTGCAGGAAACTCTTGTTAAGAAGCTGGAGGAGATATTTGAAACAGACTACACAGAAATTGAATCAAAAATCCTTAATAAGACAATTATCACGGGTGATAACCAGACAGAAGAAGCAAGATTTAACTTTTTTGCACAGTACACACTTCTAGATTTCACTGCAAACTTCAAGTACAGACTGCCAAGAGTCCTATGCCATGATATATCTGAATGAACCTTTATTGTTGAATGCCTATTACCTATCTTCCGAGCATTTCGAAATGCATTCCCAGATATTAAATATGAGTGGATTGAGAAAGATGTTGCTTTGATAAAAGGAGCAAACAATATGTTTATGGATGATATCAGTTCACGAAAGACAGATTTACTTGTCGTGCATTTATTAGATGGAATTGAGATAATGAATACTGAAGTTTCAGGACCTCCATTTAAAGCTACACAAGCACACACAATTGGAGATGCTAAGAAGTTGCTAATGATGTCTGTCTGTAGTCTTTGCAGAATATTTGGAAATAATCTAGATTGCAGTGTTAAAGATGCTAAAGGAATAAAAACATATAGTATTCAGATTATTGGTGACTGTCTTACATTGTTTTCCATCTCTCTCATAGACCAAAATAAGTTCTTGGCCGTTGAACTGGCCTCTTGCTTGATTCCATTTTCATTCGATGCAATTTCTTATTATACAAAAATCTTCAATTTCTTCATGATAATTCGAACTGAGTTTGTGAATCAGGAGAAATTACGGAAAAAAATATATTCTTCTGTTCCAGTTAATAATTCTGAAAGGATACAAGATTGGTTATTCTTACCTGATGACTACTACTTCTATGACTTAAAACTTGTGCCAGAGGATATAGACGAAGTTCTTATGACATGATATGCAATTCTTATCTATGAACAGCAATAGCAATTCAGGTTGGGTAATCTCAAATGGCAAAATAATCGACATTTTTTAGCATATTATCATGTAACTAGGTTTATATTATTTAATAAAATTATAAAGTTTTGCTACAGACTTCTGATTTTAACCTGTGTATGAAGTGTTTTAATTAACTGTGTATCGAAAATGTATACATAATAGTGCTACCGAATAAAAAAAAACTATTATTTTATTTATTTACTTCATTTATATATTCACTATTAAATATCAGTTAATATACATATTGTGAACCACTATAATTAATTTCACATTAACTATTTTTGTCTAGACAAATATTATTTATCACATTGCATTGGCGATGTTAAACAAATCCCTGAAATTCTTGGTAATACCAATGTTCACTTTGTCTGGTTTTGTTGCAGCATGCCCCAAATAGTCAATCAGTGACCCTGAAGATGGTCTCCAGAAATTATATGAAAATTATTTTTTTTATATTATATTTAGAAAATTTTTATCTTGAAAAAAAAAACTTTTACGATTAATTATATGGAAAATAATATTTTAAAAAATTATCAAGAATCAGAAAAAAGGCTATTCAATCTTGAACAAGAAATTAGGAAAAAATCACTGTTTAATTTGAATAATGTATGCAAGAGAATTATATGCATGTCAATCAATCAATCAATATATCATCAATCAAACAATATACCAATATAATTAATACTTTTAAAAAACAAATATTTATTTATTTATACATAAAAGGAATCTTCTATAGAAGTATCATCATCACCGTTTAGTAATACATCATTAAAGGAATTAGAAGAGGAATATAACAAAGTAACTTACAAACATATATAGATACATGTAGATATATTTGGCAGATTCATTTATTAAATAAAGCTTTTTTATTTAGATTTATTTAAGTAAAATCCATTTATCAGAAAAATATATTATTGCAAAACAATCATCTGAATTATTAAATGGGAAAATAATAAAAAATTCATTAAGTCAGAAATTCATATTAAATCAAGGACAACAACAACAACAACAACAAAATTTTTCAAGGTTAATATATTTGCAATATTGTTATGATCTGATTATTCATTCTTTTCACCTTTTCTTATTTCTGTATATATATATATATATATATTTGTATAGACTTGATGATGGAAAAGTAAACAAGAAAAATGAAGATATTTGGACTAAAGACATGTTGAAATTGGATTGGAAATTGTTCAATGCACCAAGTAATATATATGCGATATTTTATTATCATCTATAAGAAGCAATTTAACATTTATTAACATATGTATTATCATAAAGCAACAATTCAACAGGTTTCCAATGCTTGGTCAAGGATCACTAGTATGAATGATTGTGATTTCGATAATTTATTGTTGAAATGGTACTGGGAATTAAAAAAATTGCAACTTAAAAGATCCCGTTTATCAAATGGTGCAACTCCTTTAGGTATTATTCATCTACATTATTGTAGTGATATGATTGATTAGTTGCAAATTTTCCAAATTTATTATTAATAAAATTTATTATTCTTATTATTGAAAAGATATTTTACACACTGATAATATTGTTTATGATGTTCATTATAATTATTTACATTACACAAAAGCAACTTCAAACAAAACATTAAAGTTTAGTACCCGACACAATGGAAATGTTATTCATGCATTCATTACCAGGTTAGTAAATAATCATCATCGTCAATATAAATAAGTGTAACAATTTTAAATTAACACGAATTTATTCTCTTGACAAAAATAAAAAACAAAAAAAAGAGAGGTTTCAGATTATAGTGAAGAGGATCAAGAACAATCATTTGATTATCAAATAAATTTTAATTATTCACTTCCACGATCAACCAAAATATTTCAAGAATTAATAGAAAGAATTAATGATCCGATCAATGAGAACAATGATAATGAATTAATTCATGGGTTATCTTACGATGAAATTATTACTTATGGTAACAGTAGTAGTAGCTATGGTAATGGTGATGGTAGTTGTAATGATGTTGTTGGTATTAATAATGACAAAGGGGAAAAATCTGATAAGATTAATCTTCTTAGAAATGAATTTCACAAGTATATCAAATTTGTGATTTGGAAAGAGATGGATGGAAATTTTTTTTCTAATCATAACTATATATAGAATAACAATAATAAAAAATATTATTTTCAACTTGTCACAATTATCACAACACATGTAATGAGACATACCCAATACATTCACACAAAACTAATTTTGTTGCCTTTACAAGAAGGACTTTTATATAGAAATAGGTTTGTGCGAACATCAATAGCACGGATTGGGAGAGTATCAAAATTAAAGTAATGTTTTTTATTAAAATAATTAAATTTCGGAAAAAAAAGTTTTTACATGCAAATAATTAGTTAACTAGGTTACGACCAAACAAACAAAAAAAAAAAATAAAAAAATAAATTAAAAATAAACTCTCATTGCTTGACTTGCGTTAGATTCACTTGGACAATATGGACATTTAAACCGACTTGATGAGATGGGAAGAGGACGAAAAAAAGATATTCATTTTTAATAATGAATGATAAAATATGAATATTCGAAAAAAAATTTTAACACATACTTATTTCCTTTACTTAATTTTGTTAAACTTTCTTTACATATTACATGACCACAAGGCATCATCATTGGAGGATTATCTTCTGTTGATTGTTCTTTAGATACAGGACATGCAAAAATAGAATGATATCTCATATCATCCATTAAAGGAACTTCCACCTACATATATGAAATTGTTATATATATATATATATATTCACAAAATATAAAAATGTCATATGATTTTTCTTCCAAAAAATTTAATAATAATAAATAACAAATTTTTTTTATAACATGTATTAACTGGTAATTCATCCTGTTGACTCCATTCATTCTTCTTTTCTTTCATTATTGTCGCCATTTTGATAATTGTAGGTAATGCTTGTGCACCAACTGTTACACTATAACAATTACAATTTAGAATATTTATATAAAATGAACATGTATTATTAATATTATATAATGTTATGTCGAATACCTTATAAATAGTGGACTTTCATATGACATTCCTAATAAATTACAAAAATCTCTTGTGAATATGTGTTCAATATTTGTCCATGCGTCCGTAGATAATAAATCAGCGTAAGGCGATGATTGTAAACGATTAATATAAGCCAATGCACACATTAGACGTTGTATTTCTAATAATTTTATCAAATGTATTAATAAATATCATTTATAAATATTTCTTGATCAAGCAAGTAATTAATTGATTAATTAGGATGAATTTTACCATGTAAATGGCGATTATTAAAATAATTAAAATTATTTTTTGCGTACATCAATGCTTCATTATGTTGTTGGTCTATTAAAAATTGGATGTAGCGAAGGCGATGAAGCTGAAATTCAAGCGAACTTCCACGCTTTTCAAGTCCCTCTCGATTTGATTTTGCCCATCTAATTATATAATTATGATTATTGTAATTGTAATTACCAAGATAATTATTAAAGATCAATGATGGTGGCGGTGTTGTCGTACTTACGATAATGCGGGCTCTAATTCTTGAAATTTTATTGCCTCAAGAATTTCATACATTGTGGCAAATTGCTGTTGAAGAGCCGGTGAAATATCCAATTGAGCCTCCTAATATTGATCAATTAAAATATAAGTATCGAATTTTAATACTTTACAAATAATTTTTTAAACTCACCCTAATAAAAGTTTCACCCAATTCAAATTTTCCTTGCCTTATAAAATGTAAGGCAACAGTTTTCTGAAGTATTTTATCTTTATCATCGAATGCTTGAGGATTACTAGCTATTGTAATATCTTTACTCCATTTCTTTTAATTATATTTTTAATTGATTTTTTCAGTTAATATATATATTATCATTTTTATAAGTAAATTTAATAATTAAAGCACCTTGTCCACAGCCTTTTCATATTTCACAATTGATCGTTGAAATTCTTTGTTATTGAATGAAACTTGCTCTGATATTTCCCTAGATTTTTTTGAGAGTAGTTGTAAAGCCTGTAATGAATTCACTGGATCTACTTGCAAATTTTAAACATTATTACATTAACATGTTTTTTAAAAATAATAAATGATCTAAAGAAATAATATATTACTTGTTTGTAATGTTAAATTTGTTTCATTTAAAGCTTTAATCAAAGTGTCGACGCTTTCAAAAGATTTTCTGACGTGATCGTTTTGTTTTTTTTCAAGGATTTGATGTTCAGCAATAATTTGATCCATTAATATTAACAAATAACAAATAAGGAGAAAAGAGACAATTATTTATTTATATATATATCAATATTTATGCGGTTAGTCTGTGTAACAATAGAAAAAATGTCGAATCACCAAAATAATTTAATAAAAATGTCAAATAACAATGACAAGAAGAGAAAAAGAAACAATCCAATTTGCCCATATGGCAATTATCGAGGATATTACGGATATAGACTTAATGGTAAAGAGGATCCAAGGATTAATATGATGAAAAAAGAATGGTTTTATGGGTTGGAAGTTCTTGATATTGGTTGTAATACGGGTGAAGTTACTTTGGAAATTGGCAAGTAAAAATTTTTTTTGAGTTATTTGGTTTATCATCAATCTTTATTTGATTGAATACATTTAACCATTTTTATTTTTTATGAATTCAGGAATAAGATATTCACCTAAATTAATTGTTGGGGTTGATATTGATAAAGAGTTGGTTGGATGTGCAATGGTAAATAAACGTCTAACATATTCCCTTTCAAAACCAACATCTATGTCAACTTCAACACTAAAGAGTGATGGTGATGATGATGTCATTGTACGTGATTATTTTCTCCAATCCATACCAGCAATGTTTGGACTTTTGCCTGTTAAAAGTTTTGATGATATAGATTTCAATAATGATCAAGTGAAATTTCCAGATAATGTTCAGTTTCGATGTTGTGATTGGATGGAGGAGCCTCATTCATACAATAAATATGACACTATTTTGGGGTAAAAGAAAAATTCTTTTATTAATGAATGAACGAAGTTTATATTTACATACAAATGTAATATTTTTGTAGATTAAGTGTATCGAAATGGATTCATTTAAATAGAGGAGATAAAGGTCTCCAAGAATTTTTTCAGAAAATTTATGACAATTTAAGAATTGGAGGGAGATTTATATTTGAACCACAAGCATGGAAATCGTATAGAAAATACAAGGATCTGTCCAAAGTAAGTGTTACTATAATAATCATTTGAAATTTATAAAATGATACTATTATGTTAAATATATAATAAAATATTTTATTTTTCAGACTATAAAAAACAATTATGGTTTGATTAAATTCCGTCCGAAAGAATTTCATGATTATTTAATGAATGTGATCAAATTTAAAGATTCTGAAGAATTTACAATTCCTCAAACCACTTCATTTTCAACGTCTTCCGGTATTATTTATTAATTTAAATATTGATTTTTTATATTTGTATTTTGATTGATTGATTAATTGATTGATCAATTGATTTTTAGGGGTTTCGAGAACCTTTATTGTTTACACCAAGTAATATTAATATCAAACTTGATAATAATAATAGTAAAGGTAATTGATAATGGGTAATAACAAATTTTATAAATATTTTAACTCAAATAATAATAATAATAATAAAATTTTTGTGTTGAATTTATAATATCGTCATATTAAATATTTTCTCCATTCAATAATTATTAACATCAATTCTTCCTCGCTAAATAACTTTATGGTCATGTGACAAAATCACAAAAAAACTATATTAAAAAGTGTCACTTCCGGATTGCTTCAAAGGATTTTGGAGAAAAGGAGAAGCTGTTCTTTATAAATGTGAATTGATTAACGGAATTAAAGAAAGCACTAAATGACGAGAATACCCTTGCATTGATCCTGATGGCCCAAAAGGCAAAACACTATAGTAGCAGCGAACATTTTTCGCTGTGTTGGTTGCATATAACTTACCGAGTGACCAGAATAAAAATATACAGTGTATAACGAAAAAAATTGACCTGACAAAAAATTAAACTACTCAAGAAATACATGAGATAATTATTAGATTCATTTAAAAGTTAATCAATTACTTTATTAGATAAAAAAACTTGATACAAAATACTATTGCCAATTTTTTGTAAGGTTAAAAAAATATATCAATTTATAGCTTAAATTCTGGAGATCATTTATATAAAATTATATATTTTCAATTGAAATTCGAAAAGAAAATTTCAATGTAAAGTTTTTTAATCATTGCTCTAAAGCCTACATAATAATATGTTCCAAAATTTTTAAATGTAATAATTTATGATCTTTTGATTTTTTGATATAATTTTTATTATGTGGATTTGGATTTTGTTACTTTCTTTAGAAAACAAATTTACAGGTCAATTTTTTTCGTTACACACTGTATATGCGAATATGAACATACAGTCAGAAGATAAGTAGTTGAAAGGAAGGTTAATAAGGTTAAATTTGATGGATAATTAATTCTACCATTTTTTATTTATATTATTTATTATTTATTATTAATATAAAGAGAAATGAAAAATAGGCACAATTACACAAAACGATCCATCATCTGACTTCAAATAAATTTCGCAGATAATAAAATTTATAACCATTGGTAAAAGTGAAGTAGTTTGAAAGTATTTCTATGACTTACTCTAAAGCAGCAGCATGGTCTTGCATAGGGAAGTGATATAATAACTTTGAATGTATGATATAATTCGCGACATTGTTTGCCATGGGTCACAAGTATCATGGTCAAATGCTGAGATAGGGTCAAAAGAAGCCAATTATGTCACCAATAGTTTTGTTTGTTATTATTAATTTTGTTCTATATCCAACATCGCCTAATAAATTTACTATCAAAATATTTGGTTACCATGATATACTTTATTTAACAAACAATCTAAAAATAGAACCGCCCATCACCTAATCAAACAAAATTCCTCCAAAGCCTTCTCCTAATTTAACTTTAACGTAAATCTAGTATTAATATTAGTATCAATTCTGGTTCTGACTTCTTGCTCCCTAGGTAATAATATTCAGATCAGTCAACTGTTAAATATACTTCGTATATATTATTCTCTTTCCGAAATGTTAATTCACATATAAAATATGATAAATATTGTGTAATCAAATACCCCCGAAAAAATCTATTAAAATTATTAAAATTATTAATATGAAATCTGTGTGAAATTCAAATTAGCCAATCAGAATTTCATATCCAAACACCTAGTTTCAATTTATGATGAAATGTATGGTAATGCTTATTCTGCCTTTTCAACTGTTCTTGACAATGAAAGCAGGAAAAGTTTTTTTACAATCAGTTAAAGGAAACAAAAACTTTTTAAAAATATTGTAGAGAAAAGTTTATTTATGGTTTTGAATTAAGAAATACAAAAAATAAATTGGGAGAACCAAGAGAATGTAAAAATTGTAAAACAACAAGATACTCTGATAAATTTTGTGAAAAATGTATTAATTTACATTTACAGAATTTCTTTGATGCTTGGACACCTAGAAATGAAATAATTATTCAGAAATGTCAAAAGCTCCAATTATAGAATGGATGGATACCATGAAATATATTAACACTAATCTCGAAATCTGATTGGTGAACTTTTTCTGTTTAGGTGATAATTTACGAAGACTAGTCCATTTTTAACCCGAATTAGTGTTGCAGTCATCTTCACTCTTTTTTAAAATCATAGTGTTGGCGGTCAAGTTCAATAGAGTTTTTACGGCACTTGGAATACATATGGCATATTAAGCTCTTACTCTGCAATTTTTCTAAAAAAAAAGATTCGATCTTTTTGCTGTCCATGCCCCAGATAATGTTATGTTATCGATGAAATTGATGAATTAATATAAATAAATTGGTATTGAAAGTCATGTAATAAAATTTTTAAAATATATCATTTTTGTTTTGTAAATGAAAGTACTTAAAATTTTTTTTGATGTGCATATAGTGAGTGACCCATACCGCAGCGAGGATTTTTTTCTGATAATCAAATTACTTATATGCATTCAAGTTACGATCAGTCATTATATTGACAGACAGTTCGCGTAATTGTATGTTTCAAAAAAGCTCAACATGGTGGCCACGAAGCTGCTCATCAAACTGCTTACAAAAAAAAAAAGTATAAAAGTTAGAGATGCTGAAATGTTTCTTGAAGAATTTGATTCTGGTAGAGAGGTTGCATTCATAAAACGGGAAAATTAAAAAACTAATTCAACTCAATTCCATCCCAATGGTTGTTGCACATAAATTTTGGATGAACTACAAATAATTCATTGGTAATGATAATGATAATGATTCATAGAATAAGTAATGATTCATAGAATAAATATTGTCATATCTAAATAAATAAACATTTTATTTCTCTTCCTCTTCTTTATTTGAAGATATTTTTTGTCGATATTGAAGATCTGCTTGATACAATATTTCATCATTTTCATCATCTGTCTTTTCAGGTGATTTATATCTCATTTTTTTAAGAGTTTTCTACAGTAAGAAAACATATTAATATGTGTAATAATTTAAATCTTATGTTTTAAAATTTATATATTAACTACCTTTTGTTCACTCATGCAATTCCAAAATTTTCTTCTAGCTTCAGTACAAAGACTAATTTTATCAAAAAAACTTCCATTAACAAAACATTCTTGCAATTGTGAGTGCACCTCAGAACAGTTGAACAATGACGCTTCATGTATCATTCTCTTTTGATCAAAATAATCTGCTGAAATCTGCTCAATTTTTTTCTTTTGGATTTCTCTTTTTTCTGGATCAATAATTTTGGGTATTTGCGAAGAAAATATATTTGGATTTATAGTTGGTGCAAGTAATAATTCCTTTAAATTCGTTGATGGCCATGACCATTTGTTATCATCACCTTCCACTTCTTCGTCCTTATCATTATTGGTATTGTTATAATTATTATTATTTTTTGGTTTGTTTTTGAAATTTGTTGTTATAGTTGGTTTACTATCTTCTTTTTCTAATTTTGGATCATAGGTTGGCTGAGATTCTTTAAGAAAATCTCCTAAATGTTGATTAAGATTATCAAGGTTTTCTTTTACCTCCTCGTTATTACTATTTTCTTTAAATGAATTAAACATTATTCTTGGGAAAATTAAAAATAAAAATTCTGTATTATAATATAGTATCACATGAATACATTTTAATTGGCTGAAAATTTTTTATTATGATTAAATTGAAATGACGAAATATACGTCAAGTCGCGCTCCAAACCTTTTATGGTAATACGGGAAAGCTATGCGTTGTAAAATTGTTGAAGACAAACGTTATTATTATATACAATAAGAATTATCATTAATAATGTTGTCACTTATTACCTATTATCATCAGCTAGTTGATGTTGTTTAAATTTTTAATAAAAATATATTACATTGTTAAAAAAAAAAAAATGCTTATATACTTGTGGAAATTTTCCTTACTAATTTATACACTTCTAATTTTTCTAACAAATGAACTGTTTTATCATTATTTTTAAGATTCCAATTATTTTGATAAGAGGAAGAATGATAAGTAAAATTATAATAACATAAAAGGTCATTATTAGTGCTGATAACTATTGTAAAATTATTAAAATTCATACAACATTCATGAAGATTTACATTATCTAGAGTTGTAACAAACTTTTGCCTATTATGATATATTGCTTTTTGAGGATCTTTGACTCTGCTTAATAATGAATCATTTATTTGATTTTCATCAATTTTGAAAGTAAAACTTTTGTCTGTTTCAATCCAATAACTTTCATCTGGAGACTTTTCCTTTATATTCCAACAAACTGGGTTGTAGCCACCAACTAATTCACCAGTTTCTTTAATCTTCATTATAAATACTGTTTGTTCTATATTATAGCATTTCTCCTCAAAAACAGATCTAGAAAATCCACCTTGAGATTGACAAAGAATTAATTT